GTAAAATTCGCCTCCATGTTTTTCGTCTGGGCCTTAATGTTTATATTAATGTTTATGTGTGTGTGTGTGTGTGTGTGTGTGTGTGTGTATGGAGTCTGTCTCCATGTGTGTGTGTGTATGGTGTCTGTCTCCATGTGTGTGTATGTATGTTCATGATTATGTAGATACTTGGTGTATGTGTGTCTAAAGGATTTTGCTTCACGTGTGTGCGCGCATGATGTGTGTGGTTGTGTTCATGATTATGAAGAGATTGCGTGTGTTTATATGATACTGGCCCACAAGTAAGTGGTTGGCATTAAGAGATATATATAAACCTACCGAGAAACACCGAGTCACTGCTCCTTACACTTGGTGGTGAGGAGGCCAGTCCACCCTCACCACCTCCTCTGATAGTCTTCCCAAACCACGAAAGTTAGAAGGAAAATTGTTTACAACTTCGTAAATCATTGTTGTTGTCTTGTTTTTATACACATAAACACACAGGAGAGAGTGAGGAAAGGATGTCTGTCTGAAGATTATGATTACCGTATATCCCTCTCAGTGGGTGGGTGTGTGTGTGTGTGTGTGTGTGTGTGTGTGTGTGTGTGTGTGTGTATCTCAGACACATTAATGTTTACTACTGACACCGACAACTGGTAGTACAAGAAGGGCAGATTGGACAATGACCATCACCACCACCAGACAGAGACAAACAATATATTAGCCACATCACACCTGCTGTCATCAGTAACAAGTAACGTCGAGGCATAAACAAGATTGTTCTAAATCAAAATCAAAGGTTCAGAGAGATTAATGCCTCGGAGTCCGCAACCTACCAATATTGTCAGTCTTACTAAACAACAACAAATAATAAATAATAATACTAATAATAATAATAATAATAATAATAATAAAATAATAATACATAAAACGAAATTAAATATCACAAATAAAAATAAAGTCTGGGTGAAAATTAATTCAATACAATCATAATGTAGGTGACGGAGAACTGTCACGGAGTTAAACTACTTGAAAAAAAAAAAACCCACCTGACAGAAAAAACATCCATCAGAAAGGTCAAGAAGGCGAGAATGGGGTTCACTAAATGGAGACAGAGATATATCCTACTGGTATATACAAACAAACAGACAGACAGACAGACAGACAGACAGACAGACAGACAGACAGACAGACAGGCAGACAGATAGATAGACAAGAGAGCAGGTAAGGGCAGGAAGTAAAAAAACATACACAGACAAAGACACAAAACAGGAAATAAGAAGTAAAAAAGAGGCAACTAGACATAACAATAATCAGACATAAATAACCAGACATAACAATGAGACATAACAATCAGAACATAACAATCAGACATAACAATCAGACATAACAATGAGACATAAACAATCGACATAACAATCAGACATAAATCAGACATAACAATCACATAACAATCAGACATAACAATCAGAATACAACAATCAGACACAACAATCAGCCATAAATAACTGTAATAGAAATAACAATCAGACAAAACAATCAGATGAATTAACTAGACATAACAATCAGACATAACAAATTAGACATAACAATGAGACATAACAATCAGACATAACAATCAGACATAACAATCAGACATAACAATCAGACATAACAATCAGACATAACAATGAGACATAACAATGAGACACAACAATCAGACATAACAATGAGACAAACAATGAGACATAAATAACTAGACATAACAATGAGACATAACAATCAGACAACAATCAGACAAAACACCCGACATAACAATCAGACATAACATCAGACATAACAATCAGACATAACAATCAGACATAACAATCAGACATAACAATGAGATATAACAATGAGACATAACAATCAGACTATAACAATCAGACATAACAATCAGACATAACAATCAGACATAAAAAACAATAAATCAGACATAACAATCAGACATAACAATCAGACAATAACAATGAGACATAACAATGAGACATAACAATATAACAATCAGAACATAACAATCAGACATAACAATCAGAGACATAACAATCAGACATAACAATCAGACAAACAATCAAGCTACAACAATCAGACACAACAATCAGACATAACAATCAGCCATAACAATCAGACAGGCAGACAACGCAACACTACACTACATAATCATATGAGTTATTAAAAATTTAAATCATGCAATTAATAACTCAACATATCAAATTAATTATGTACCTCTAATATCAACATAAATTAACTTCTTAAAACATCATACGCACATATTAACTTAAACATCATACGCAAATTAACTTTAAACCCTTTGAGGACGATTTTAAACCCTTTGAGGACGATGATTTAACCCTTTGAGGACGATGGTTAACCTTTGAGGACGATGATTTAAACCCTTTAGGACGATGATTTAACCTTGAGGACGATAGATTAACCTTTTGAGGACGAAGGGTTAACCCTTTGAGAACGATGATTTAACCCTTTGAGGACAATGATTTAACCCTTTGAGGACGACGCCTTAACCCTTCAGAACTCAAAGGTTAAAAACATCATACAATATCTTTATGTATCCTTAAACATTATACATATTAATTGTGTATTTCAAAAACATTAATTACATAAAGAGAACATCATATACCTCATTACCTTTGACAATACAAAAAAGGAAAATGTATCCTTGACATTACAAAAATAATTATGATCACTGGTGTATTAAAATAATTTCATCTCCACAACACACCTAATAACTAATTACCTTTGACATTATATAAAAGTTTTATATCTGTAACAATATAGAAAATAATCATGCTGAGGAGAAGAGATTACACACACACACACACACACACACACCATGACTTATCTGCAAATTTGGTGAAAGCTTCTGCACTATCTCGACACCGCTTCTACTACCCCTGAGATCCTCGCCAGGAGAATTGCTGTTCGACTCCACAACTGCATCCAGCCCATAAGTGCACGAACTGATCGCTATAAGAACAGCCCAGTCCCAACCACTGAAAAATTATCAATAACTTGTAAATCAACCAGTGTATTCATCCCAGTCAATCTTACTTTTTGCACTGTCACTATGTTGAAAATGCCCTGTAGTTTGAGCTTCTCCCACCTAGTTATTTATATATCATATTTGTATCACTTATGTTTGTATATTATTTGTAAATCAAGAAACCCATCTCAATTATGTAACTGTATATTCTTTCAGGCTCTCAGCCACCAATGCTCTTTCAATAAACCGTTAATTATTATCATTACACACACACAGGTACTGCCTCGTGTAATCTTAGGGTTCATCCTATAATAATATATAAGAACAATTGTATCTACCGGGTAATATATTTCTTTCTCCTACCTCCCCATACTGGTCTCCTACCTCCCCATACTGGTCTCTATCCCCATACTGGTCTCCTACCTCCCCATACTGGTCTCCTACCTCCCCATACTGGTCTCCTACCTCCCCATACTGGTCTTCTACCTCCCCATACTGGTCTCCTACCTCCCCCATACTAGTGCTCCTACCTCCCCACACTGGTCTCCCTTCCCACCTGGTCTCCTACCTCCCGATGCCGGCTACTACCTCCCCATACTGGTCTCCTACCTCACATACTGGTCTCCTACCTCCCCCATACTGGTCTCCTACCTCCCCATTGGTCTTCTACTCCCCACTGGTCTCCTACCTCCCCATACTGGTCTCCTACCTCCCACTGGTCTCCTCTATACTGGTCTCCCTACCTCCCATACTGGTCTCCTACCCATACTGGTCTTCTACCTCCCCATACTGGTCTCCCACCTCCCTGGTCTCTACCTCCCATACTGGTCCTACCTCCCCATACTGGTCTCCCTACCCCACCTAGTTTCTTATCATCACATTAGTTCATGACCTTATACTGGTCCTCCTACTAGTGTCCTCCTAACTATAGTGGTCTCCTCTAACAGTACAATAAATTAACGATTACATGAATCAACAGGTTTCTTCCATGTGTGTGTGTGTGTGTGTGTGTGTGTGTGTGTGTGTGTGTGTGTGTGTGTGTGTGTGTGTGTGCTGTGTGAACTTTTATACATGACGGAAATGACTCGAGGTAACTGTCACTCATTAGTGATATACAGGTGTGGTGTGATGATACGAATGTGAGAGGTCATATACTGTGAGTGTGAGTGTGATACAGGTGTGAGGTCTGTGATACAGGTGTGAGGTGTCATGATGCAAGATGTGAGGTCATGATACAGGTGTGGTGTCATGACTGAAGTGTGAGGTCATGATACAGGTGTGAGGTCATCTGGTGTGAGGTGTCATGATACAGGTGTGAGGGTCATGATAGGTGTGGTGTGATGATACAGGTGTGAGTGTCATGATATACAGGTGTGAGGTGTGATATTGATGCAGGTGTGGTGTCATAAGGTGTGAGGTCATGATACAGGTGTGAGGTCATGATACAGGTGTGAGTGTCATGATAGGTGTGAGGTCATGACAGGTGTGGTGTGATGATACAGGTGAGGTGTCATGAAAAGGTGTGGCCCAATCAGGGTGGTGTGATACAGGTGTGAGGTGTGATGATACAGGTGTGGGTGTCATGATACAGGTGTGAGGTCCATAGTGATACAGGTGTGGTCATGATACAAGTGTGGTCATGATACAGGTGTGAGGTGTGATGATACAGGTGTGGTGTCATGATACAGGTGTGAGGTCATGATGACAGTGGTGTCATGATACAGGTGTGAGGGTCATGATACAGGTGTGAGGGTCATGATACAGGTGAGGTGTCATGATACAGGTGTTGGTGTCATGACCAGGTGTGGTCATGATAAGGTGTGAGGGTCATGATACAGGTGTGAGGGTCATGATACAGGTGTGTCAAACAATCAGAGGCTATGAATGATCGTCTCAGCCAATCAGAGGATAGGAATAATCGAGCCAACCAATCATAGGGAAGAAATAAAGTCAACCGACCAGAAGCCAGGGATGATCATGTCAACCTATAAAGAGACCAGGGATGATCATGTCAACCAATAAGAGACTAGGAATGATCATGTCAACCAATAAGAGACCAGGAATGATCATGTCAACCAATAAGATACCAGGAGAGTCGTAAAAATTATACGACCATTGAGAAGGTATGTTAATCAGATCTAAGGAACCATTAAATGAATCCACTGTTTCAATATGAAAAGCCACGGTCGAAGATAATGATCTGAAACCAAAGGCGATGACGGACGGACGGACGGAGAACTAGAGGAAGCCAACCACTCTATATAAAGTAACTAACCATAGAAATAACTCCTTTATACGCCACCTCCGTCTTTTATAATTCCCCCACAAACAAATCAACTCGTGGTTAGCTATAAAAAAATAAAATAAAATAAATAAAACTTATTCCCTCTGTTAAGGGATAAACCCTATTAAACGTTTATGTGTTATCAACCTATCGTGAGCCCAGAGGGTATACAGGGGGTTCTGTACTCTGAAGCAAAATCACGTAAATCTTTTTTTTCGGAGAAATATTAACACTTTTAAACCTTTTATTTCCAATTTCAATTTGATTTCAATTAACTTCTATTTTATGAATGGTTAGTGATGGGGTTAGAAACCGCGTTGTATCACAGTGAGCGTGGTGAGGGTAGTGATGGTGGTGGTGATGGTGAGGTGGTGATGGTGAAGGTAGTGATGGTGGTGATGGTGAGGTAGTGGTAGCGATTGGTGAGGTTGTAGTGGTGGTAAAGTAGCAGTGGTGGTGATGATGGTGATGGTGGTGGTAAGGGTGGTAGTGGTGGTGAAGGGTAGTGGTGGTGATGATGGTGATGGTGGTAGGGATGGTAGTGGTGGTAAAGTGGCAATAGGTGGTGATGGTGTGATGGTATGGTAGGGCTGGTAGTGGTGGTAAAGGGTACGATGGTGGTGGTGATGATGGTGATGGTGGTGAGATGGTGGTGAGGCGCACGAACACACTATCGTCTTCGTTCGTAATCACAAAATGAAAAAGTATTAACACTGACAAGGAACGAGAGAAATACTGAAATTACATAGAATAAAAGACAAGACAAACCAAGACAGACATATATATATATATATAGACAGATAGATAGATAGATAGAGACAGATAGATGAATAGGTAGACAGACGCAGTATGATGATTTAACCAGAATAGCCTCCTTCCCACCACCCATTATAAGCTTCCTCCATTGGCGCTTTGTTGAATTAGGGTGGGGGGGTGCATGAAATGAGAGAAGAATTCACGAATAACAAAGACAAAACAAAAATAGACTAACAAGCACCACACAGCATTGAGACTAATTGTAACTGGTGTATAATAAAAATGGACTCACACTTCAGTAATGCAAAATATATAAAAAAAAAAATACCATTCTCTTCTCTTACTGTTGTTCATTAGCTTTGTGTTGTATTCTTTTTTTTTGGGAAATGTTGTTTATTTAATTACTGACCACATACTGGATACTACGAGGTTAATTATATTATTGCAGTGCCTTATATTTATATAGATGAAAGTGATGGTACGATTAATTTAACTGAACGTATTAGAACCAAACGTGACCTGACCTCTCTTCTCTATACCCATTTGACCTTTAAAAACTGTCTCTTAGTGTGTCCGGTCCCCTGGTGTGACTTGCCCCCTAGTGTGTCCTGTCTCCTAATGTGTCCCCACCCCTAGTGTGTCTTGCCCCCTGGTGTGTCTTGCCCCTAGTGTGTCTTGCCTAGTGTGTCCTACCCCCTAGTGTGTCTTTGGTGTCCTGCCCCCTGGTGTGTCTTACCCCCCCTGTGTGTCTTGCCCTGGTGTGTCTTGCCCCCCTGGTGTGTCTTACCCCCCTAGTGTGTCTTGCCCCCTGGTGTGTCTTGCCCCTGGTGTGTCTTGCCCCTAGTGTGTCTTGCCCCCCTAGTGTGTCCTACTAGTGTGTCTTGCCCCTGGTGTGTCCTGCCCCTGGTGTGTCTTCCCCCCTAGTGTGTCTTGCCCCTGGTGTGTCTTGCCCTAATTGTGTCTACCCCTAGTGTGTCCTGTCCCTCTCATTCTAGACGATGACTTAACCTCTGTATCTTTGTCGATGTTTGAATCAGAAAAAAAGGGGTGGTAATTTGGCCATACTAAGGGATAAGGGGATAATGGTAGAGATATTAATGGGGAAAGCTAAAGATGGGGTCATTACAGGACGAGATGAGTGAAGCAAAAGTTGTGGTCCCGGAAGACAACGTCGGGGAGGTTATTGGAGGACAACCCCGAAAATGTTGTTGTTGTTGTGATGGTGTTGTGGTGGTGGTAGTGGTGTTGTTGTTGTGGTTGTGGTGGTGGTGGTGGTGGTGGTGTTGTTGTTGTTGTTTGTTGTTGGTGGTGATATTGTTGTTGTTGTTGTTGTCGTGGTGTTGTTGTTGTTGTTGTCGTGGTGGTGATGTTGTTGTTGTTGTGATGGTGTGGTGGTGGTGGTGGTGGTGGTGGTGTTGTTGTTGTTGTTGTTGTTTCGTTAATTGGTGGTGTTGTTGTTGTTGGTGATGGTGTTGTGGTGGTGGTGGTGGTGGTGGTGTTGTTGTTGTTGTTGTTGTCTGGTGGTGATGTTGTTGTTGTTGTTGTTGTTGTCGTGGTTTTGCTGTTGTTGTTGTCGTGGTGGTGATGTTGTTGTTGTTGTTGTGATGGTGTGTGGTGGTGGTGGTGGTGGTGGTGGTGGTGTTGTTGTTGTTGTTGTTGTTGTCGTGGTGGTGATGTTGTTGTTGTTGTGATGGTGTTGTGGTGGTGGTAGTGGTGTTGTTGTGGTGGTGGTGGTGTTGTTGTTGTTGTTGTTGTTGTTGTTGTTGTTGTTGTTGTTGTGGTGGGGTGTTGTTGTTGTTGTGGTGGTGGTATTGTGTTGGTGGTGCTGTTGTTGTTGTTGTTGTGATGGTGTTGTTGTGTTGGTGGTGCTGTTGTTGTTGTTGTTGTTCTGGTGGTGGTGTTTTTGTGGTGGGCCGTGGTCAACAACCCTCAGGCACATGGATGGTTCCTTAATTAAATGTCTGTCTGTATCACCAATAATCGAATTCCATACAGGTATTTTTTTTATCTCTTATTCTCCCTCTCTCCATTTTTTCCTATCCCTCTTCTCCCATACCAATCACCCTCTTCTTAATTCCTTTTCTTTCTAATCTTCCCTTCCATCTCTTTTAGTTCGCCTCTCCTTCCATCCTCTTCTCTCTCACAATCATCACCGTTATCATTACCTTTTCTTCGTTTCTTCTGTTCTTTTTTTCCCTTCTATGTCTTCATTAACGTCTTTCATTTTCTCCTGTTCCGTTTTTTCCCCAATTCTTACATATCCTTCTTTATCAACTTCTTCTCCTTCCCCCACGATTTATCAGCATCTCCCTCACTTATCAATTCCTTCATCTTCACCTTCAGTAATTCCTCTCTTCATCAGATTTCTACTCTCCTTATTCATCAATTTATTTTCCACAAGCTTTCATTTCCTCACTTATCAACGTTTTCTTTAGTTCCACCTTTATCAATTCTAATTTCCACCTTCCTGCCCCTCCAACTTGCTCCCTGCCCTACCCCCTCCAACCCCCCCTCCTCACCCTCCAATAACCCCTCCCGCTAGGCCTCGACTTGGATTGTTGTTGACGTCTGTAATGTCTTCAGCCTCAAGGGAGCATCCCCAAGTTCTACCTCTCTCTCTCTCTCCTTCCCCAGTGTGTCCTGCCTCCCTAGTATCCTGCCTCCTGGTGTGTCCTGCCTCCTAGTGTCCCCTGTTCCTGTTGCGCCTTTGTGTCCTGCCCTCTAGTGTGTCCTGTTCTTATATGTCCTGCCTCCTAGTGTGTCCTGCCACCAGTGTATCGTGCTCTTGTCTCCTACCCACGATGGTCTCCTACCCCTCTGGTCACCCACTCTTCCAATGGTCTCTACCCCCCTCCCTCCTCTGGTCACCCACCTTTATGGTCTCTACCCCCTCTCTGGCCTCGCCCCTTTCCAATAGTCTCCCAGTCACAAGTTTTTTTATTAATTGTTAAACTTTTGAAGCCGGCGGGAAAGCCTTCATGTTATGGTTAAGTTTTCTATTGGAACTTTCATTCATACAAAAAAAAAATCACTCGTACCTAAAAACAAAAACAAACACGTACCTAAAAAAAATTAGAATTATCCCTAAATCTCTTTTCCTCTACTTCCTTGAATCTACTTTTATTATACTTCCTCTTTTCTTTTTCTATCTCTATTATACTTTATTCGTTATATATTTACTTTGCTTCATCTCTCCTTTTTTACTCAATATTTATGCATTCTCTCTCGCGCTCTCTCTCAACTATTCAATATGTATCCCAAAGTTCACTCTCTCTCTCTCTCTCTCTCTCTCTCTCTCTCTCTCTCTCTCTCTCTCTCTCCTGTATCGCCCTTAATACATCACCAGCTCTCTGTAATCTTCAGATCAGGCCTTAGAAAAATCTTATTACAAAATATCAGCTATCTAAAACCTTCCATTATAACACCAGCTATCTAAAACCATCCATCTCCTATCATAATATAACATGTACAATCTAGCTTCCCTCTCTCCACAGCTAAATGAAACGCTGCCAGAGAGACACACAATCAAATGACATTTAAAACAGCCACTATTTTCCCTCGCTCTTTTTTCTCTCTCTAAACCAATTCCGCATCTGTGAAATGGAACCGAAGCTTCTGTTGTAGTAGCTGTAAAAATAGTAAATGGGCTTGATGAAAAATGCAAGACAGCCGCCGGTCCTCCCACGAGAGAGAGAGAGAGAGAGAGAGAGAGAGTAGATTGATAGATAGATAGATTGATAGATAGATAGATAGATACAATAGATAGTGTGAGAGAGATAGATAGATAGACAGATTCAATAGATAGACAGTGTGAGAGAAGAGAGACAGACAGACAGACTTTTATCAACATACACTAACACACACACACACAAAAAGAGTTAAAAGGCTCAGCCCAAACGTTAAAACTTTGGAGACTTTGTTCAATGTGGCTGTTGTTGGTAAAAGCTTAAGAGTGTGAGTCAGAAGAGCTAAACTTAAGCTTTTTTTATATATGTACAGGAAAAGAATCACGTAGCAATTGTTGATGAATGTGAATAGAGAGATACGAGAATAAATA